CTGACAAGTCACAGTGGCGCATATGATCTATGACTCAGTCAAGTCAACAGCTGAAGGTGAAACACTGTGCTTTGCATTTTCCAGTGCTGTGTTGAGTGAATGTTATATTATATATATTATAGTGCACTGCCTATAACAGTTAACAAAACAACAAAATCATGCAACCACCGATTAAAGGAGGAAACTGTTAAAAGGAAAGATGACTGTGAATGTGTGTTTTGTAGTGTAGCAATTGCAACAACACACAAACATGAATATGTATCTCTGATGATAATATATTTATCAACATAACTATAAAATAAAGTAAATATAAGTACTTACCAGAGTTTAGTCTTTGAGAAATTTGCATGTTCAAGAAATTAAATTAATAGAGTATTCTCATGGAGGTATATTGACAGAAGAAAAGAGAGCACAAATCTGCTCACACACAAAACCTTTTGTGTATGTTCAGTTGTGCTCCCTATCTTCTGTCAACAAGCTATTCTGGATCTTCACCTCTTTATTCACCTTATCTGCATATATACAAAAAGCACCTGTTTTCATTAGGATATATAATCAAGGGGAAAAAAGTAAAGGGATATATATATCATAGACCTTTACACACAAGTTGTGACCCATGAAGATTTTTCAATTTCATGGACAAAACAGGAGATAAGGAGAAGATTGAACGAAAAAAAGGGGGGTTTTATTGGGTTTGAGAAATAGAAGGAAGGAAGAAACCAGAGTTATATTTCTTTTGGGTATGGGTAAGGGACAAGTTGTAGAAGAATCTGGTTAATTATAGCTGTTGAAAAAGTAGTTGAGCAATAGATACAGACAATTCCCTAGTGAGATAGGAAAGAGAACATTGAAGTCTTGTTTACCAACAAGTGGCTAATGTTTAATTTCAAAAATGGCTACCATAACTATATGGTGTCAACATCTCAGTGAGTAAGCAACTATATATCAATTCTTGGAGACTTCGCTTTCTTCATGAAAATGGCCCAATTTCTGAACAAACTTCCCTGCATGGATATATTCGCAGGTCCAAATGATGAGTACTATATGACACAACGACATAAATTTAAATGTTTTTATTTAATATTCTAGAATTTGAGACTTCAATAAAAAAAGTTATTCATTTATATGTGTTCTAATTATATAAGAATAACATGTTGAAATTTGTGGTTGTAGTTAAATAATTCATTGATTGTCTATGAAGTTTTGTGAAAAGAAAATTACGGTTTTTAAGCATTGATTATGAATAAAAACAACTGTTTAAAATAAAAAAGACACTTGGCTAGAGAGAGAGAATGGTAAAAATTTGATAAAGTGCCTAAAAGTTACAAGTTTAAGAAGTTGACGTGGCAACTTCAGAACCTCCATTTCAGATTCTTCGGATTAGAAATAGATTGGAATAGGAATCAAATTAACTAAAACTCATTGATTCTCTGAGAGTTTTGGCCACACACAAAATAAAGCTGAACCCACTTCTATTATATCTTCTTTTCTGATTATAAAAAAAATATTTTTGTGTATTTAAAATCAATCTTAAAAGCTAATATTAATAATCTCTTAGACTAAGTTTTCACGATACTATCAAGCATCACTGTTAGAAAATTTCTATTTTCTGTAGAGTTCCTGAAATTTTCCTCCGTGAGTAATTAATTTCTTATAGATTTTAAATTCTAGAGGAAAGTTTCCCACGAAAAATTTTCCATGCACTTTATTGCAAGAAATGAACAATTTCTCTCTTTAAAAATAGTTAGTTGAGCGTTGAAAACTTTTGTGAATTTTTATAAGAGAAAATTCACATTAAGAATGCGACAAAGATTTGCAAGAAAAATTCACAAGAAACTCTCAAAGAAAATTTGCAAAAAACTTCCCCGAAGAAATCTACAAGAAAAATTTCAAGTAAAATCTGCAAGAAATTCCCCAAAAAAATTGTCATGATAACAACTTTGCATGAAAATCTCCCAACAAAGGCCCAAGAAAAAAACTCTACATGAAAATCGATGATAGAAAAAAAGTTCAATCACAATTCAACAAAAAAACATGCAAAAATATTTCCCAACATCTTATCATCATCTACATGACTGTGATGTTCAGTGATAATAATAATAATAAATAAATATTAAAACTTCTGTATTGTGTTAATGTTACTAATGATTTTTTCTTTTTCTTGCATCAACTCCTTTCTTGTCTCCTAGTTATTCTTACTCATTCTCCTACTGCTCCTTATTACAATTAAGAACTTGACTCTAACTGCATCATCATTCTCAAGAATAGTAAAGAGATATATGGGACTTGCTTGGAGATGTGTAAGTCCTATTATGGAGTTGCTTTAATTAATTTCTTATGCCAAGTTTAAGCATCAATCAAAATTCCCAAGAAAATCCCTAAAAAAAGTATTCAAAAAATACAGATATTCCCAAGAAGATCTATTCCCCAGGAAACAAATATCTAGAGGAATTGAAAGAATTTTTTTCCTTAAAATAATAGGCTTTTTTTAATATATTTTCTTGACCAAAATCATTTAAATTAGTTAATGGTATTGTTAATACTTATTTATTAATTTATATGTATTCTATGGGTCCATTGATAAATCTGATAAGATAAAATAAAGATAAAATTCGATAAGAGAATGATAAGCTATTATCTTATTATATGTTTTTGATGGTTATCAAGAATAAATTAATAATATTATGTTATTTTTTTTATTGTTGGAGATAAACAAGAAATAATATAAAAAAATATAAATTATATTTAAATAATAATATTCTCTTTTATCAAAATTACTAGAATTTTTTAAAAATATTTTTTATTGAAATTTCTTACTTTCCAATAAATATATATATATATATATATAAATAAAAATATTTTCGTGTACATATAATATTAAAATTATTTTATATTAAATTATAATAATTTTATTCAATTAATTTTACAATTAAATTTACTTTTTAAATAAAAAAATGTAACGAGAACGAAAAATTCTAAAAACTTATAAAATATATTTTATAAAATATGAAAAGTGGTATAAAGTATGTGAAAAATATAATAAAAAAAGTTATTTTATCTTGATATTTCCTAACCTATCATCCTCCTAACCTATTCATAATATTGAAAGTAATTAATATAATAGTTTTTCAAAAATGAATTACAATATTTTAAGTTTATTCTCAATTAAAATCAAATTTATTATTATATTAATTGTTAAAAAATTAAAATAGGTCAACAATGAAGAATATATATATATATATATATATATATATATAATAAATACTCTTAAAACTTTTTAAAATATCTTACTTTAAAAATTAAAAAAAAATAAAAGCATTAAAAATATAATACATGAACATTCAAACATATGTGGAGCTGCCACCCAAGTTAATGGTATTTTAATGGCATTTTAAAAGACCTAGATGTTATAGAAAAAATTAGAATACCATTTAATTCATTTTTATTTAAACGAATTTTAATTTGCTTAAGAACATTTTACTAGATATTTATGAGCTTTTTGGTTATAAATACTAATGGTGGAAGCACTTCTTTTATTTTTAGCTTTCCAGTGTACTTGAAAGTTTGTTCTTCAATGTTTTATTTGAAACTATCGATGTATATGTACGATCAACTTGCCACGTTTCGAATTTGTATTGAATTGAGTCTCGTGAAAAACATTAACACAAATATGACTTTTTTAATATTAATTTTTATCCATTAATAAAATATAAATATCATAGAAACAAGATTAAATTCATCTACTAATTTATTCATATCCCTAGCAATATTGAAGTCAATTAACAACTCTTGAATGAGGAGTGAGTGGATATGAAAATTAAAATTAATCTCTTTGTAAATAAAATAACATTGATTCCAATGATACCTAAATTCTCGTGTCCTTGCTCGACTACTTTTTTTTTATGAACTAATAAAGCATACATATCTTTATAAATTAAATAATTTTTAAAAATACTTCAAATGACATACAAAATTACAAATAAAATCATCCATCTAATGTCAAATAAAATTTAATATAATACCAAATTACAGTATAACATATGTACAAAATTATGAATAGTTCTAACTTTTTAATTTTACTACCATTTTAAAACATTTTTATTTATTATAATGATAAATCTGTATTTAAAAAAATTAATCAAATTATTATATTTTAATAAAATTTAATATCAGTAGTAATTTTAAAAATTGAATGTGAGAGAAGTAAAGATAGTAAAATTTTAAAAATTAAAGAGATAAAAGTAGAAAAAAAAAATTCAAATATCAGCTGAAAAGTAACATTTAAAGATAAAACATTAACAACCCCATCTTCAGCCTACTTGAAATTTTTAATTAAAATAATAAACTTTCAACTACCTGAAATACCTTCTTATACACACTCTAATTCTTATATGTTTACTTGAGAGTCTTAATTCAGCCTTTGTTTTTTAGTTCAGTTGAGTATTTTCTGCATCAACTAATAGTGACTAATTTTGGGCCAGAACAGGTGTAGGCTTAACCCAAATTTACACTATGCGAAGGAAAACTTGTCTCAGAGCAAATAAAAATTTTCTTTTTTTATTACCCATGATTTATATTTTTAGCTGTGATAAATTATTGATATATCTTTTTGTTCATATGGGTCAGTAACAACAATGTGTTTGGGGCTCAGCGTTATAAGTAGACAATAGGTCCATTATCAAATTCCAAAAACTAAATAAACACCAAAAAGAGAAAAGATTAAGGGAGGGTTTGGGCACTGGAACTTGCAAGATCATGTTGGAAGCAACGAGAATGTTTCAAAAGGTGCACCAAAAGTAAATGATGGAACATCAATCAAATTTTAAAAAATAATCGTAAGAGAAACTCCAAGAAAGTTCAAGACCAAAACTTTTCACCCTTTATAAAAACGTACCATATGCAAAACCTCTCTTAATAACAATCCAATTCATCGTTAGCTCTAAATCTATCAGCATAATATCTCATTTAATTGCCACATTTGTTGAATACAATAATTAACCATGTCTCTGATTCATCAATTTCTTGGTGATGAAACCTTTGACCCCTTCTTATCTATGATCAACAAGTGCCCTGTCCTAAGCACCCCAACAGATTGGAAAGAGACCAAAGATGCTCATGTGTTCATATCTGATCTTCCAGGGTTGAAGAAAGATGACATCAAGGTACAAGTAGTAGAAGGAAGGATCCTTCAAATTTGTGGTGAGAGGAAAAATGAAAATGAAGATGACAAGAACATCAAGTGCCACCGCATTGAACGTTGCCGTGGCAAGTTTCAAAGGAGGTTTAGGCTCCCGGAGAATGCTAAGGTGGAGCAAGTTAAGGCTCATATGGAAAATGGTGTGCTTGTTGTCAATATCCCTAAGCAGGAGGTGAAGAAACCACAAACCAAGCTGATTCCAATTGATGGAAATTAGAACTAAAAATTCATAAAAATATGGAAACTAAAAACATGTTTATGTCTTAGAAGAACTGGTGTATCTAATCTTGAAGTCTTTGTTGTTGATGTGCAATAGAGAGATGTGAAATGGGAAAATAAAATGGGTGTGACAGGTTTGTGGGTTGTCAATTGTTGTGTGTTTGCTACTTTGGTTTTATACTCATGCAAAGTATTGTAGTTGTTGGAGTCATTATTGTAATTTGAGCTTGTTACATATGTATGTGTTCTTCTGTTTCTTTCAAGGTTTAATTTCTCTCAAGTGCATTCTAATTGTTGTATGCATGAAAGGAAATTGCTGATGTGAATATGCCCCAAAATAGGGAATCAAATAATTAAGGAGAAATTCAAAAAATCAAGTAAGTTCAATTTATGGAATAGTTCTTTATTAATTATTATCCCCAAATTAAGATATGAAAAGACTCAATTTTACTTTCCTTTAATTAGTGATATTCTTATCTCATAAATAAATAATATTACTTTACATACTTGTTCACCCCAGCTTTTATGATTGAAGAATAAGTAATTAATAATAAAAAATTTATGCAAAACTATATCAACTGTATATAAAATCAAAAATTATAATAACATATTAATATTAATACTTTATTCAGAAGATATAAACAAAATGTTAATTTAAGTTCTTCCGAAAAAATTAATTATAATAAAATTTTATTAAAGATAACATTTATTATATAATTTTAATCTTAATATAATAAATAATTTTTTTTAATAATTATTTTTAAATGCTTATTAACAAAATTCTACAAAATAAAATAAATTTTTGGTTAAAAATAATTAAATTATTCTAAAAGAATTGAATTACAATAAAATTATTTTTTAATAAAATTTAGTGTCATGTATTATTTTAAAAATTATAATTAATTAAAATACTCTTTTGTTTTTTGTAATTTATTTTTATTTATAAATTAATTTTTATAATTAAAAATATATATTTTAGTTTTTATATATTTTTTATATTTTTATTTTTTATCTAATATAATATTAAATGATAAAAAATTTTAAGAATTAAATTTATAATTTAATATTTATTTATTTATTGTCATCCGCACTTAGTGTGACAAGATCTGAAGGGAGTTTTCAACGAGAAACGTGCAGAGATAACAAGGTACTTTTAAAATTAAATAAAAAAATTGATGTTATTCATCATTCATATTATAAATTATTGTATTTATTCTTAAAAGCAGAAAAATTTTACTAATTACTTTTGTTTTATTCAGTCATGTAACTTATTTTACATTAAGTCATTGTTCTTATAATTTTTTTTCAATACTATTCTTTAAATTTAAATTTGAAAAATCATATAAAAGTGATAAATTTTTTATGATAACTTGATTTTAAAGTTATTATATTTTTATTTTTTCAACAAATAGAAAGAGTAAAAAAATGTTAAAATCTTGAATAAGTAACAATAGATAAATCATTAAAAAAGACAGTTAATTTCAAGAATATAATCATTTTAAAAAATCGTAAACGAACATTCCAATCAGCACTTGATAAGACTCTCAGCATAAAAATTAACTTCATCAAGTACATGAATAAAACAAATATTGCAATTGCAAATCAATAAATCGTGAATTCTGATAATTGAAGTAAAAAATTTTAAATTAATATCAACTTAAATTTATTTTAAAATTTTGAAATTTAAAAATATTAATTTACATAAAAATTAATATAAATATATAATGTGTCTCGCTTTGAATAATTTATCTGTATAATTTTATGATAATATTAAAATTTAATTTTTTTAATTTAAATAATAATATGTTTTTATCTAAATATTTATTTTTGTGTTAAATATTTTTATCCTTAAATGACAATAATATTATATATATATATATATATATATATATATATATATATATATAAAAGAACTAAAAGTCCAACAAAAACAAATTATACGGAATGTATAACACACAGATCAAGTAGGAGGGAGAAGGGAGCCTCTTAAAAAATAGTTATACAAAGATCTTTCTAAACTAGCTTTTGCAAGGTAATCGGTGCAAACATTAGCCTCCTTGCAAATATGGCCTAATCAAATACATTTTATATGAATTAAAAGGCTCCTGATTTTTTGGATCACTTTAAACAGCAAGTGAGATTGGGTTGGACATATTGGATGAGGGAGATAGCTTGTTTGCAGTCACTTTTAATTCACACTTATTGGAATCTTTTCTTTAGAACTAATTGAAGCCCATGATAGAGGGCCAAAAGCTCAACTTCTAGAGGGGAGTAAAGACTGATTTTTTTTTGCTAAATCTAGCTAACAGATGACCTTTACAATCATGAACTAGTCCTCCACAGGTAGACTTTCCATGGCACCTTGAGATAACTTCATCCATATTCAGCTTCACCTGGCCTAAGGGAAGAGGTATCCAAGTCATCACAACCTGATCATAAACCAAACATTGCAGATGGATATGAGTGTCCCTGCAGTGGGAAAACATGTAATTAAAATCACACAGAATTTTCTGGATCAGACAATTAGGCTGAATAGAAACATTTTGAAATACAAAATAATTCCATAAGTTCCAAACGGTGATTCCAAAAATAATATGCCATCTAGGAAAGGGACTGTTGTTTATATTTGATAAGTTGAAGGCTAACCAGTCTAAGGTTCCCTTACTGAAAAAAGCCACCCATTGCTAAGGGAAGACAAGATGGTCCTAGATAGACTTGGCGTAAAAACAGTTCCTAAGGACATAAGAAATGGTCTCAGGGACTTCCCCACATCTAGGATAAGAAGAGGAGTTAGCCATGTTGCTCTTGCATCTTTCCTCATTTGTGAGGAGTCTCTCATGAGCTACGTTCTACAAAAGAAAGGTTATCTTAGGTTGACACTAGGTGGGTGTTACAGTAAATAGGGTCTTTTCTTATTCTAAATTTGTATTTACTATACAAGATTTGAGCCCACAGAGCTCTAGGTGAGGATACTAGTCTCCACCAAAGCTTTATTAGATATGCTTTGTTTAGAGTCGTGAGATTCATGAAGCCAAGACCTCCATCAATTTGAGTTTACAAATTTTCTGCCAACCAATAAGATGACACTTTTTCTCTCCTAAGGAGCCACAGATGAAATATTTGTAGATGTTGTTAATTTCATTGCAAACAGAATTGGGAAGGCAAGTGGTTTGCATGACATAAGAAGGGATACTTAACAGGCTTGATTGGGCTAGGATAACCCTTCGAGCTAAGGATATGAAGTTCAGTTTTTAGAGATTATGCTTTTTCCTAATTTATCTTTAAGAAAATTATAGTGCTCTTTAGGTTTGTTGTGTGTAATAAGGATACCCAAGTACCTACCAAGCCAGTTGGAGGTGCTAATCCCTAACATATTGGTAATTCCTTGGATGAGGTCAGTTTTGGTATTCCCAGAGAAGACCAAGATGGATTTATTGAGATTCACTTTCATCCCAAAAGCTACACAAAACACATTTAAGGTATTTTTAATAATGAAAGCTTGATGCAAATTTGCTTTAGCCACGAGGATGATGTCATCAGCAAAAATCAGGTGGGATATATTAGGGCCTTAGGTACCAAAAGAGAAGGATTTCCAAGTCTTATTGGTGACTTTCCCTTAGATCAGATGGACTAGCTTCTCAATAAAAATGACAAAAAGGTAAGGAGATAGGGGGTCTCCTTAGCGAATGCCTTAGGCACATTATTATTTCAATTAAGAAATAGGGAAGAAGTTATACAATGGCAAATAAGACACACTAAGTCAATGGACAAACCAATTTTAGTAAAAGTATCAATGATGAAATTCTATCTCATCCTATCATAGGCTTTTCAAGGTCCAGTTTGATAATTATAAATTTCTTTTTACCTTTTAATTTGTGTATGGAGTGGGCTAGCTTCTGGAGGATTAGGGAGTTATCAACATCCTGCTTGTCAAGGATAAAACTGGATTGGTTGGGGGAGATAATATGGTCCAGGAAGCCTCTAATTCTATTAGCAATAATCTTAGTGATAATTTTGTAGCTCACATTACATAAGGAAATAGGTCTAAAGTCTTTTATTAACTCAAGGCTATCAAATTTTGGGATAAGGGTAATCCCAGTTTCATTCACAGAGGCAATCCTAGAAGGATTATTGAAAATCTCCAAAACAAAATTAAAGATATGAGGGGCTAGAGTTTGCTACTTATTTTTAAATAAAATAGCATGAAACCCATCAAAACCAGGTGATTTGAGGTTAGCTATCTTAAATAGAGAAGCTTTGACCTCATTTAAAGAGACATTAGAGAAAAGGGTATTCTTGTTAGAATCTCTTGAGGAAAAGAGATCTAGCAAGGCAAATTACTATTCTAAGGATCAGGGTTAAAATAAAAATGTTTTGGAAATATTTTAGGGCCATGGATTTCAGTATGGCAGGCTCATGAACCCAGTTGTCTTGCTCATCCCTTAAGACTTCAATTAAATTTCTATGTTTGTGCTGAATTGCAGCTCTATGGGAGAATTTGGTATTTCTATACCCAAGACACACCTAAGTTCTTCTATAATGATGAAGCCAGAAGACTTCATCCAGATCAAGGATCTGTACTCCTTCCAAAGGGTATTTAGCAGGTTAGTGAGGAAAGGATTCTGGCTATGGCCTAATTTATTATGGATTCCTTCATTTCTTCTAAAAAGGTACTTTTTCTTATTAAAAATATTACCAAAGACTTTTCTATTCCAAACAGAGATTTTATTCTTAAATCTATCAATGTTGTCAGTCTAAGAGCTATTGAGAGTCCAAGAGTTCTTGACCTAACTAGGGAATTCATGGTGGGAGATCCAAGGGGCAAGAAATTTGAATTCAAGGCTTGCTAGTATTCTGGATACAACTCAGATTCTTCACTTTGAGCCAAATGCCCACATGGTCAAACTTGGAGATGGGGACATAGATCACAGAACTGTACTGGAAAGCTAATTTTAGGTGCTGGAAAGTATTATTTCTGTATAGGGGATCAGCTAGTGGAGAGAAGGGGGATTAAGATTCTCGAACTGTACTGGAAAGCTAATTTTAGGTGCTGGAAAGTATTATTTCTGTATAGGGGATCAGCTAGTGGAGAGAAGGGGGATTAAGATTCTCATCCTGGGTATGATTTGCTCTGAACCTAGTTTGCTTATCGAGATTTGGTTTAGACTTTATTCTTTAAGACTTCTTAGTTTCAGTACCCAATTTAGGATCCCTATAGGTATAAGTAATTAGTCTGAGTTTGGTGGAGACAAGCTGCCCCCCTTTATCAACAGGTTCTTGTTCAGATTGCCTAACTTCATTTATTTTCCCAAGGTACTTTTTTTTATGTTGTTCAAGGTTTGAGATTTCCAGTATATCAAATATAGATCCAGATTGATGAGCTTGACCTTTCTCACTAGCTCTAGAGGTCCCTAAGGACCTAGCCTAGTTTGACTTTTTCCTCAATGGTTTCTTGACAAGCATCCAAGGTCCAAATTTGCTTTAAGTCTTAGGAGAATTGCTATCTATAGTATCTTAGGGGCCATCCTTATCAAGGTTTGATGTATGGTCTGTTCACTTTCAATTATTTCCATGAGGACATTATGATTATCTTTACATTCACTAGGTTACTAGGAGTTTCTATACATGTATCCATTCTATAGCCATATCTCCCGTAATTGAAACATATTAAATGTAGGCTTTCATATTCTATCCTAAATTTCTGTCCTAGGACTTTGAAGGAGTGAATGAGTTTTTTCCTAAGGTCTAACTCCACACACAATCTAGTGAATCTTTCCCTTGAAACTAAAGAGGTATGGGAGTCCACTTTCAGAATGGACCTCAGGTAGGTACCTACCTGCCAAAGAAACCTTTTGTTGTATAACTTAAAAGGCAAGTCTGGGATACGAACTCAAATCGTTATTTTCTTAAGATTTTAATCCGTGGGCCTGAATAAAGCAAATTTATAGTCTTCTAAACTTTTGAACTTAACTAAGAAAAAATCATTATTAACCCAAGAAGCCAAACCTAATAGATTTTCCTAAGAGTTTTACAATCAGGGTTCATTTCTAAGGAGAACACCAAGTTTCTAGTCTTCTAAGGGGACTTTAATTTGAGGTTAGAGATTCAAGGTATTATCAATTAGGTCATCAGATTCATTATTTTTTATAGCCATGTCAAGATCATCCAAAATAGACTACACAATTTCAATATCATTAAGAATCAAATCAAGATTTTTATAAGCTAAAATCTTATCCTTATAAGATGAAGAGATGATAGGGTTAGGATTAGATGACACCTGATTAACTGAAGCTTCAAGGTCTTGATGCTCTTGTAGGTCCACTGACAGATTGTTCACTTGATCTTAAGATGATGGGACTATTTTAACCTTTTTCTTACTTCGGGTGATCAGATCTGCTTCTTCTGGTGTGCGTCTTCCTGCATCTGATTTCTCCATTGATGGAGTTTCAAGGAAGGAACCCTTAGGATAACTCTCACATAGAGACGAGCATGTATAGGAAGCCTCCACAACTAGGTGTTGAAAATACCCTAGCAAAGAGCTAGTAAGCTCCTTTTTTTTTAAAAAAAAAATGAAACTTTCTCTTTTTAAAGATGAATTTTAATAACACTTTTTTGAGTAAAAAAATTATATTTTTTATTTTATAATAATATAACCTTCATATGATATATATATATATATATATATATATATATATATAATATCAATATATTTGTATGTAAATTACCTATTAATTATATTTTAATTAAATTAAAATCATATATGTAAAAATATAACTATATAAATAGAAATGTTAATATTGGTTTAGAAAAAAATAATTTTTCCCTATAAATATATCTATATAAAATTGATACCATAATGCGTTTTTTTTTTAAAAAAATCTTATCTACATCCATCAATCATAACAAGCATTTTAATTATATTTTGTAATGGGTTATTTCTTAATATTGGGTTTAAGAGATAATTTATATAGATGAAATAATTTCTCACATAATTATTTTTCAATAATACGCGTCTATGTTAAAAAGTATTAAAAGAGTATATATCAATAACTTAAATAAAATCATAAACTTTACCCACTACAACTTTCAACCTTACCAAATTACAAAATCTGTTGTATGATATTCATATCATTAATAGTTGAATCGAGCTCTTCAATAAATATTTATAACAAAAATTTATTGTTAAGATATTACAAGAAGAAAGTAATTAACACATAAAAGTATAAAAGCAGACTCACATCAATATTTTTGAAATATAAATTGATAAGATTGGCAAAAATACTACTAATAAAATGAATTTAATTTAAATATACTCATAGTATAAAAACATTGTACACTGTCGTCTAATCATAAATTATCATATTGGCCAGAATTAATAATTTTTATATTAATTAATATAGAATTAAGTATTTATATTATAAAATATAGATAATAAATTAAGATTTAAAAGTTATTTGATATTTTATTTTTGTTTAAACATATTTAACAATCTTAAGAATAATAAGATATTCTTTAATATTTACCAACAAAAAAGGCTAATTGGAAGGTGGGCTATAAATACTAGATGAATATTGAGGTCAGAAAACTAAATTGGGTGTAATTATATTTTTACTTTAATTTTTTTATTTATCAGTGGTTTTATTTTCTGTCTTTTCCAATTAATTGTATTAATTTGTTTTAAGATTTTAATTCTATATCTTTCTATTTAAATTGCATGATTGAGTTTGCCATTACCAACTGTCGTAGGATAGTACAAGTTTGATATGGGCTCACAATAAAAATGGAATGGAAAAGTTACATAACCTTTTCCATTCTCTGTTCACGCAAAGGTTTGGTGAGATATTGGCATTTGGAAACATACCAAAACAAAGGCATGATCAGTACCTAAAAATGATTCTGCTGAATTCCATTCAAGTTGCTTCCCAAATAAGAGAACTCCATGCCTGTCATGGACCTCTTTTGCCTCCCACTTTTGGTTGCTTTTCAATTTATTATTAGTAGATTTGAATATACTTTTAGTTTATGTAAATAGGATCAATTTTGATTTTTTTTTTTTTGTTAATTTTAGTCTTCAAATATTTTAAAATTTTTCAAAATGATCTTTGGTATATAGCAAGGGATGTAATATGTTTAAATGCATGATGGGTAATCAATATTTAATAAAAAGGACCATTTAAAAAAAATTTATGATTTATGAAGACCCAAAAAAAAAAAAACTAAAATCAAGTTTAACTATATTCTCAAAGACTAAAGATATAATTTTTTTCCTTGTTATTTTTCCTATTAGGGTGAAATTTTTTTATCCTTATAAATATAGGCAAATTTGATTTCAGTCTCTTTCTTTTCTTTATTTTATAAATTTCAATTTTTTTATAAATAATTCATATTATCACTAACTTATTATTATTATTATTATTATTAAGCTGAAGGCACTTGATTGAAGCACATCTTTGGGCCAAACAACTTGAACTTTATAACCGATGATATGCCAGTTTTTCTGAGATATTGTCCCAACTAGCAAAACTTCCGCCATACTTTTAGCATTGTTAATATCTTTTTGGTGTCGGCGTGCACGCATGGGTTTATATAATTGAACAATTGGACGTAAACTATCACAATAAAAGACACATAAAATTTGTACAAATACAAGAGGAATCAACACTTCTATTAATAGAGCAAACTCTGCAAAATGACATGGCATTGCATCAGCTTACACGTTTTCAAATGAAGAAAGGGCTCAACCACCAAATAAGTACATAATTAAGTTTCTATTCTGAGACAAACAAAAGTGAAGAAAGACCACATCATTACATTAAACTTACCTCACTTTCTTTTTTCTGGTTAGTACTAATTAACAATGAGTTTGATCAATTAGAGTCATACAATGATGGTACAACAAGGGTTGCTAATACTTTGCCCTCTTGTCATGCCAAGTAACTTCTTCTCTTTGATAGCTGGATCCTCTAGCAAAAGAACTTTGTCCTTGTCACTAACCCCAACCATGTGCAAGAACTCATTGTCATCTCTCTCTTTACCTCTGAAGAGAAGCCTTTGCTCTCTAGGCTCCAAACTTGTTACCAGTGATAGAATCATTTTTAATTCTCCTGCAAGTTTTTATTGATTCACAAATTAGTAAAACATACACTTGAGGATTATCTCTATGGTCACTGTATAATGCTAAAAATAATTTTTTTTATTTGGATACTCTACTGTTATTGATTGATAAAATATGGTAAGTCATGTTGAAAAGGAAAGACACAGTTTTTACAAGAAACAATTAATGGGTCTTGGAACTTATTTAACAAAGTTTATATTTTTTTCTCTTTCCCTTTTAATATGATCATAGGGTGTCACTCCACACTAGGAGAGATGCAAAATTTTGAAATTCAAAACTTCTGGGTAATAAACGACCCATTAATTCCTTAGATTAAGAGATAAAAAGAAAAGGGCTTGTAACCAAAATTAGATTGATGACAAGAGAAATAGAGATGGTAAGAGACTCACCAAAAGTTGAAGTGGCATCAATAGAAATGTCATGCCAGTGTGACACAGTGGACACTCTAATAGTGATAATACCCTCCCCAGCACTTTGGTTACTCTCCCTTTTCTGAACAAGCATGCCACCAGGCCTAAGTTCCCATTTGATTTCACCAATACTTGTACAATCCTTTCCAGGTGGGGATGATGCTTTGCTGCCATTGGCAATCTTGGAGCTGCTTCTTGAGAACCTCTTTGACCTCAACTTGATCATATTGCTTTCCTTATCTAAATTGTCTCAAGCTTTGTGATTGTGTCTCTTGGAAGAATTGAGAAGTTGATAGGGTAAGGGGCTTATATAATAGTAGAAAGCGTGTAAAAGGACAAAGAAAGCATGAATAAAATAGAAGGCACCCTTGTGTTGCACAAGAGGAATGAGAATGAGGTATGAACACATGGGAGACATTAGACAATATGGGTATTGTCTTTTGTAGTGATTTTGAGAAGGGCTGAGCACATGGGGAGTGGGGAGTGGGTGCTTAACACCAAAATTGCTTCATTAGCGGGCCAAACACACTACCAATCAATAGGTTTTAGGTCGGTTTTTCTTCTTAATTGTAAAGCAATTCAATGCCTTAATTAATACTTAAATGTCTTCATCCCTCGTCTAACTACACTTGTTAAATAATTCATAAAAGGATACCTGTTATGGTTTTCTAACATGTCAAGCAATTTTTCAAATAGTAAATTTATTATAATTAATAATAATAATTAATGTTATTAATGTGTTGAATTATGTGATATTCTTTTATTTTTTTAATTAAAAAATTAAACAGATTTTAATAATACTTAATTGATAAAAATAAATAAATAATTTTAAAATATATCAACATAATAATAATAATAAAATATAATTAATTTTAATAAATATTAATTTATATAAATATGTTTTAATTTTATCAAGAAAATATTATCGTTATAAAATAAAATTATATGAAGTAAATTAGTAAAAATGTTTTATGAATATTTATTTATAAAAATAATATTATAATTATACAATGCATAAAAAATATTAAATGAAACTATTTTTAATAAAATTTTACTATTTATTAATTATATTTACCTCTATTTTTTAATTTTTAATTTTGAAGGAAATTTTTATGTTTATTTACATGCTATTTTTAAATTTAAAATAATATTAAATATTTCTTTTTATTTATTGATTATCTTTTACAATTATTAAGTAAGAGAGGAGAAATTAGTATATTTAATGTTAAAATAATTAAAAAACATAAAATAACATATTAAGAAAATTTAAATAAATTTAATATAAATAAAAATATTAATTATAATTTTTAATTTATATGTTATAAATTTGAATGGCAGATAAAATTAAAGAATAAAAAGTAATATTTGACAGAAATAAAACATTTAATACAGTAAATATTTAATTATTTTAATTTTACTTTTTATTTTAAATCTTTAATAAGTGCTAAATACGTTAGCTAGCATTGTTAACATTTATATTATATAGGATAGACTTCAGTAATGTCATCTTACACCTTCAAGAGAAAAATATATATTTAAAAGTATTTTAATGTTTATACTATATAAAACTAATTTTACTGATTTTATTTAAAAATATTGAATTTTTTATGTGTAATTATAATAAGCATATAAATGCCATTTATTTTAATCAATATTTGTGTAAAATAAATTATATAAATAAATATGTAGTTAGTATAATTGATAATTTAATTTTTTTATTTGAAATTTTAAAAACAGTCAATATACTACTTTCTCTGTTTAAGACATAACGCTTTGAATTTCAAGAAATATAAGTAAGACAAAGTAAATCCATTTAAGAAATATTTTAAAAAATTTTTTTTACGGGTCAAAACTTATTAATATCAGATTTTATCATACACATCTTAATTTTTTATAAGATTTAAAATAATAATGATCCTTTATATAAAATCACTTTCAAAGTTTTTTAAGTATTTATTTATTTTTACTTATTTATTCTTCATAAATAATTTAAATATTTGTAATTTCTAAACAATTAATACAATAATAAAATTTGAATTTAAATAAAAATGAAATTAGAATATCATAGTGATATTTTTAATTTTAATATATTAATTATTTTCAATAATTTTTTAATCTGTAAATTTTAATTAAAAAAACCTTACAAACTGAAGAAAGAATATTGTTTATAAAGATCATGAAGAATTAATTATAAGAAAAATATAACTTTTTTTAATTAAAAGTGTTAATATTTACATTAAAAAGTTAAACATCCACATCAAGGTGGAGTTTACTCTTACCACTTCAATCCCTGTTTAAGCATAATTTGAATTGGAATTTACATTTTGAAAATTATAATTTAATGCATAAAAGAAACATGACTATATCAAGTGGAAGAGAACTTAGAAAATTTTCATATGCCCATAGCACATGCCACATGCCACATGCTGTCATTGACTCTTTCATATAATTAATACATAAGACATATGATAAATTGGCACCAAAATTGGCCACATATGGTTAAGAATGCATAATCTTATCGGAATCTTTTAAACTAATTCAATAAATTGAAGTCGGCTTCTATATTAATTGCATTTTAATTTATCATACATGTTATTTAGACATGAATATGATAATTTATATAGACATTCCAGCACCAATCATGTCTTGGGGATGTTAAAGTCAATATATTGTATTTTAACCTATAAACATATTTTTTTAATTCACTTTTAATTATTAATTAAAATTTATTAAAATATATTTTTATTTTTATTATTTTAAATTAATTTTTTTATATTTAATAATTTATAATAAATTTTAATATATATTTTTATAATTTATAATAAATTTCAATTAATAAAAATATCTTTATTTATATAAATAAGTGCAACAATCTTAAGTATTTACCTGAGTGCTAGATTTATTGGGGAGCTAGTCTGGAATTTGAATTTATCTTTAATACTCATAAGAATGTTTGAAGAGCCTATAAAGAGCTAATTTCAACGACTCATAGAAGCTTCTGGTTCATTTATATTTTTAATAATACTCATGTTGAACTCATAATTATGTTTTAGAAATTAAAAATGATTTAAAATCTAAATATAAAATATATTTTATGATAAAAATTACTTCACATTTATACAACTATATTAATCTCATTTAAAATTTAAATAAATAATTGAGAAGTATCTAACAAATTACCATAAAATCTTTTAATGAAGTTTTTTTTTTACTTTCAAAAATTAGATTTCATCTCCAACAGATTCAATATAATTTTTTGAAGTTGATGGAATTTTTTTCTTTTTTTTTAATTTTCTTTTAAAAAATATTAAATATTAATCTAATTTATTCTTTTTAAAGTATAAATTTTAAAAATTTATACAAAGATAATTTTTAGATAAAATCATATCCACAAAAGCTATTGACAAATTTTATTTGTTGATATTCGTAATTTGGTAATGACATTCAAAATCTGCATCTTTGATTCCCATCAAATCAAGTGTTACACGAAACCTCTTTCTTCATTTTGTCTTTTTCATTTTCAGATAATTACTAAAAATACAAATTGAGGATAACCAAAATGCATTAGAATTTAACCAAATTCACGCATATAAGAAAAGTTAGACTATATACCTCTTAAAAGGTAGTGAGGGCAAAGAATACCTATCATTTTGGATAGAGCGATAGAATTTACTTAAATGAATAATTTAAAATACATTATATAATTATATTTAAACTTAAAAAAGAATGAATATTGCTATTATTAATAATAAGTTAAAATTATATTGAACAGAAATAAATTTTAAAAAAGAGTTTTTAAATTAAAAATAATTATAAAAAACTATTTGAATTAATATTAAATTCTAAGAAAAATAAAAGCTCTAAGTAAAAGTCATCACACCTAACAAAAAGCAATTCTTAGAATTTTTTGTACTTAAATAAATTTTTATTTAAAATTTAGAATTCATATTTAACATATATATAAAAGAAATTAACCAAAAAAAAATCTTACTTTAAAAAAAATAATTAAAGACTTCTAAGGTCTTTAATTATTTTTTTTAAAGCATCCCCAAACATAGATGAAATTTTATTTAAATTTTTGTTGTTTAGGCTAAGAAATATCCCCCAATTGGTATGGGCTAACGTTAGCCACTTGTAGCTAAATGTAGACTTGTCTCCATTTTTACTAATCAAACATCACATAATTTCATTTTCAAGTTCTAGTTGGTCCATAATATCATACCCCATTTTCACATGTTATGTTTATAGAATTGCTACATAATCACATTCTAAAATTATAAATTTCAATTCATAATATTATTATTCCCATTTTAATGAATCTACGTTGAGGGTTATATTCATGTCCTTTGATTTCTTTTTTAAAAATAGTTTTCAATTTTTCTATTTATTTTTCTTTTTCTTACCTTGATTTCATGCATCAGAGAGTGAAAGGTGATAAGATACCATTATTCTATGAAATATACACAGAATCATATAATAGTTGTAGCCATAGATATTATTCCTTTTTTTTATATAAACAACTCTGAGTGCAAATACGATTCACTTAGATAAATGGATATTCATCAATATAATTGAACACTCTTCTTTATTTATACATAATTACATAGATCATGTGCTGAAGCTAAAAGTTTTCCATATAACACGTATATATATTGAGTATAAGAAACATTAAAAATTTTCTTTCTCCAAGTAACTTAAATATGAATATATTTTAATTATTAAAATTTTGTTTGATAGTTAATTTTAAATGAGGAAAGGGGAGAGAGAGAGAGAGATTTTATTTAATAGTAACTCTTGGAATCTTGTTGAGAATTTTTAAATGTATGGTAAATTGTTGATAAAAAAAATGTAAGCCTCAATACATTTATAAATTTATGTTTTTAACTTCTTTAATTTAAATTAGGAGATTTTATTTTATTTTTTTGTTAACTCTCATTTTCTCTCCTTTCTATTCTTCTCCCTTATCCCTCCAATTTTCCTTTCTTTTTTTCTTCATGCTCTCAAATAAAGTTAATTTGAGAATAAACTCATTTTTTTAAAAAAAAGTTTAAATTAATAATATGAGTAAAATTCAGCGATCATTTTAACTCAATGCAAAAATTATAATTTATCACACATATCCCACTAAAATGTGACCTTAAACTTCAAATTAATTTTAATTCAAACCTACCCAACATACATATTAACACATTAATTAAAACATGTTTGTATCTTTTTAAGGTACTT